CTAAAACCTTTTCTGAAGGAAGAACAGAACACACACAGGTACTCTGTAACTGTGCCAGATATAGTTGTACCTTTACAGGTTTGAGTTAAACAGTTGAGAAATGTGTATAATATGATGCACTGTAAAAAAACAAAAAAACAAACAAAAACAAAACAAAACTGTGCAACAGTATGTAAAGCAATGCAAAATTAGTTCCACTTTAACCAATTAAAACAGGGAAGTGATGTTAGTCTTATTTACTGCATCAGTATTAATAATCTCATGCTATACAGAGTTGCATGAGATAATTTAACTACTTTTTGTGTCATTTCTACATTTAATGCCTTTCTGCATTTAATATTACTTACATATGGTATTTGGGAAATTTACGTTAATATTGAGTGTTGTGGAAGTTTTCCATTTAAATAAAGCCTGCAGATAAGTGGTGAGTGGTAGACAACATTATTTAATCACAAACAAAGAACAGAAAACCCAAGCTTGGTGGAGAGCCTGCATGACCGCGGGGCAGACGTTCAGCAGTCTCTTCCTGAGCCTAGCATGGCTCCCAGTTAAATACCTTCTCCAGGAACAAAAGGCAGTACACAGCTGTTTCACACCTTAAGGTTCACACTCCCTTGCTACTTCCCAGAGTCATCGAAGAGACAAAAGATTCTTCCTGTGGAGTTGTCTGCTTCCCCCCAACTTCCTTACCAGACCCCCACCATCTGTCTAACTGCATGAGTGTGAGATATGCTAAAATCCAGTGGCACCAAGGCATTATACAATAAAATAATGTGATTAATACATAGATAAAAGAAATTCCTATACATTGAGTAAGGTTAATCTCTAGTTAGCCAGCTGATCTCATCAAATCTTCGGGAACATAGATAAGCACAAACACATCATCAGAACTGGCAAACATTTCTCTAAGAAATATTAAAATTATTACAGAAAATTTTTAGCTATAGTGAAGTCATTTTTCATTGTGTTCCCACTCTTACCAGGAAGAACACACAGCTGCTTCCTCTAATGTAATGGGTCTTTCAATTCTTTCAACATTTGTCTGCTTCCTTGTCAATAAACATGTATTTTCACATTTAGAGCTTAAACCAAAAACTCATTGTGACAAATAGAGAGCACCACAACCTACATGTAACAGCAGGAGAGAAATCACTTGACCAAAAGATGCCTTTTCCAATGTCACAATGGGAAAATTAATTCAGATTTGGGGAATTTCTGAACTTCTGTATTAAGTGTTCAGCAAATTTTTGGCGCAGAGTTGTCAAACGGATTGAAGTGAAGGCGTACAGGAGTGGATTCACTGCACTATTTATAAATGTTAGTGCTCCAACAATGCTCCAGCTATCTTCACAAAACTTCAGCAGTCCCTCGTTTTTCAAGGAAATAGCTGCCACACCCAACACATTTATAGAAAGATATGGCATCCACAGGACAACAGAGGTCACAATTATCCTGGTAATTAGTCTGGTGGTCTGTGGATTGTTGAAAAACGCTGCCCGATTCACCTTTCTGCAGAGACGGATGTATGTAAACATTATGACAGAAAGTGAAAGAAATACTACAAGAGTCTCTGTCAACACCACAGCCAACCTCTGGCCATCAGAAGAGTGTTTATTTTTGCATTTTGTCCACTGTCGTTGTTCCACCAGCTTTCGAACTACCAACTCAGGAGTGGACAGGATCATTGCAGCCAGCCAGAGTGGAACCAGCAGCTTCCGTGCTTCAACCTGATTTAAACTCCTTTGCAGGTGAACGACCTGAAGGTAACGCTGGACACTCAGCAGAGTCACAGTCAGCAGGCTGACATAAATGGTGCAATACACAAAGTATGTAATGAGTTTGCAAGATTCCTCACCTATCATCCAGCTATTGAGGAAAGAGTAAATCCACACTGGAATGGTAAGCATGGAGAGCAGGTCTGACACAGCCAGACTAAGCATCAAACTCTGGGTCAGACTGGACATGTTCTCCCAGTTTGGCTTGAGAATGATGACAGCGATGTTTCCAGGGAATCCCAGCAGGAAGCAGATGGACAGCACCACTGTAGGAGCCATGCCTGTGGACCAGGAGGTGATGGGTGAATATCCAGGAGTGG